CTGGGGACTGTAAGGAGCCCCGAAATTGAGCAATTCACCCTGAGCGGACTCCCTCAACTGTGCCCAGACACGGCCCGGTCTGTCACAACTCCCTGGACTGATTGATTTTAATCTTTTCTGAAGAAATGAGGCATGCAGCCTACGCACTCTGTAACATTCTCCAGTTGCCATGGTCTTGAATCATTTGTCTCCATGTGTGTAATGGGGTTAAATTCAGAGTTTTCCTGATATTGCTTAGGAAATGCATTCAGAGAAACACCAGTTCTAATGTTCTATGATTCTATGACTCTACCACATTCCTGGGACAGTTCAGTTTTACAGACATAGAATTTTAAAAATAAAAAATATTAAAACAAAAATTAAACATCATTTTAGATATTTAAATATGAGATGTCATGGTGTCGCATATGTGGGGGTCCTGACCCAACTCTAAAGGCAGCGGCACAGAGGTAAGGGGGCATGGTTTAGTATTGCTCCTCTTACTTCTGTGCTGCTGCTGGTGGGGCACTGCCTTCAGAGCTGGAGACCTGGCCAATAGCTGCCTCTCTCCAGCCACCCATCTCTGAAGATAGCACAGAAGAATGCTATGACACAAAATAACCTTGTGATCCCATGCAGACCTGTTTTGAATCAGATCCCCCCATTTTGAAACACACTTGCCTCCTCTGTGAAATCTGGTAAAATTAACACAAATGATCTGATTTCACGATCTGTGATGCATTTTTCTCAACCATGAATTTGATAGGGGATGTGTTGTGGTTGTTTAGTAGCTTCACATCTGAAGAAGTGGGCTACGCCCATTGAAGCTCATGATACCATCTACATGTTTTGTTAGTCTTTAATGTGCTAAAGTGCATTTGTTGTTTGTTAAGTTAAAACTCAGGAAGTTTTCCTTGTCAGAACCCATAAAGATAATCTCTCTTTTGGGATGAGCAATGACTTTCTAATCGGCTGCACCTTTCTTATCAATACATGCATTTTATTGTTTTCACAACAGTCCTGCTTAGTATTTCTGTGCCTTGTCCTCTGAGAAAAACTACCAGCACTGACATCTAGTGGCTCTGGATCAGTTTTGCATTTATTGCTACACTAACTAGAAAGTCTCCTTTACATTCAGATTATTTTTTTTATTAGTAACTGGTCCATACATCAGACCACAACTCATCAGTTATCCCAGTTGCTGCTTTTCCAGAACATTGCTGATTTTCTGTGAATCTAGTATATGGTGTTACAGTGATTTCCAGGACCTATCAAATATTCCCAATTTGCAGAGGACAGGATTTTTTTTTCTAACTGCAGGATCTGAAAACTCAAAGTAACCTTGAATCAGTCAGTTAAAGCTGGGTCCTTTCTGGTACATACATGATATAACTTGCCTGAGCTTTCTATAGAGCTTTTCCAGAAGCTTACAATAGCTTAATCACAGCAGTGCTTCCACTAAGCCCAATTATTCTGGCTACATGGCCAATTCCCCCTGATAGTGTCAGCAGTGGTGTCAGAGAGGCAGTGGAGTCACTCTGTGCTAACCAAGGAAAGATATGAAAAGGGAGAATTTCCTTGTACCTCCATCCTTTAGATTTCTTACCTTCTTTACACTATCAAAGCAGTAAAAACAGGCCATAGCACAAAGGAGAATCAAGTCAGGAATTCATGTATGAAATGTAGCCAACAAAATATGTTAAAAGAGCAGAATCTAACTGATCCTTGAATGGATGAAAAAACTTCGTGACTCGAGAGAACATGGACACACTGTCTTTTGACAGGGTACGAGAGATAATTGAGATTAAGTTTAATTATATCAGAAAACTTAAATCTTTTTTAAACTGAAAGCTGAATCTTCTGGGAAGGCAATATTTGAAAAACGTGTCTATGCCATTGTGCACCACATGAATAGAAAACCACATATACTCATTTCCTGCTGGATATTCTTAACATGTAAGGTGCTTGGGTCATTGTATTTGGTGGATAAGATGTGATGCAACTGCCGTGCAGTGCTGTAGTGTGTTGATCTTTTGAAGAAAGCTTTTGTTCCATATTCCATACAGACTTTTGTGTGCATAATAAGTCAAATTCAGTGCTACTTGCAGGTGCAAATCTCCAGCTGAATTCACCTGAGCACTGTAATCGACCCTATGACTAATATTTTGCAGCTGTAAAAAGCACAAAAGTGTGGCCTAATGGTTAGCACTGAGGGGATGTGAGTCAAAATTCATAGGTTCTGTGTCCAGTTCTGTGTCTTACTCCTTTGTCAGACCTTAGGAAAGTCACTTTAACCTGATTCTGCCTCTGTATGTGTCTCTCTGTACAATGAGTATGATAATACCTAACTAGCTCGCAGGAGCACTGTGAGGATTAACTTAATCTTCTTCTGTAAGAGGAAGAGTAGGCCTTTCCAACATAGCTCAGACTGGGGGCAGTGGGCAGCTATTCCATCCTAGAAGTCGCAAGAGATCTTCTGTCAGAGAGGCAGAGATCCTTGGTGTGCTGATAGCAGTGCAGAGTGCTATACCTCCTTAAGGGTATTGCATAGTGACCTGGCTGTGGCTGTCCAGCTTTTCTGGCCAGCACGTAAAGGAAGAAGACCCGCAACTCAGATCCTCCCCTGGTCCCTTTGTGCACTTCTGGGGGAGCACCTCTGTAGAAGCTCTGTGTTTCTGTGAATACTGGGGTAGCAATTCTAGTCATCCCTAATGTAAACTGTGTGAGGAGTTGGGAGACTCCTGGCCTCCTGCATTGCATGACTTTGTCTAGTCTGGATAGAGCATAGCCCATAGGCCTTTGAGATGTTCAACGAAAAAGGCCTGAGTCTCCACTCAGTGATACTAGTGCAAGTCCATCAAAGCCATAGACTTTACTGTTGATTTACAGTGGGATGAGACAAGAATGAGGCTCAAAAGGTGCTATATAAGTGGAGAGTAGAGGTGCTGATAATATTTCATCTCATTGTACAAGGAATTCCCTTATCAGGGGCTATGTCTAGATTGCAAAGAAAAGTAAAAAAAAAAAAAAAAAATACGCAAATTGCTAATTGCAGTTTGCATATCTTTTTCCACTCTTTTTTCAGAAGAGGCTTTTCCAAAATTTGGCTAGTCTACACAGGGCCAAATTTTGGAAAAACCTCCTCTTTCAGAACAACCCTTATTCTTCATACAATGAGAAATACAGGGATGCCAAAGGAATGCATCTGCTTTTTCGGAAACTGTTCCTAAAAAGCAGACGTGTTCCTTGGACACAGTGGAGTTTTTCTGGGATATCTCCAGTAACCCAGAAAAGCTCTGCAGTATTGACATAGCCAGGAAGGTCATGCGCTCTATCTAATGTCAACTTAATAAACTTAAAAAATAACAAATAGTCTGGTAACACTTTAAAGACTAACAAAATATGTATCATGAGCTTTCGTGGGCACAGCCCACTTCTTCAGATGACCAAGCTTCTCTGGCACTTGGAGAAGATGAATTCCTGGAAGACCCCAGACCTTCATCAAAGAACTCCCAAGATACACACGCAGGTGAGAAAGGATTCATGAAAAACCTTTGCATTGTCAGAGGTCTCTGCTATATCACACAGAAGCCCCAAACCTGGTACAATCTTTACTCACTGAATAGTATTTAGTGGGAAAAGTGCCACTGATCTAGGTGGGACTGCTCTTATGAATACACACTGCCCATGAATAAGGGTGGCAGAACTGGGCCCTGACAGTTGCAGACATTGCTGTGTCTGATAAGCTGCTGTGCACAGTAACTGTCAGACAAGGAAATGATCCACTGGGGTTTGATCACAAGAGCCATCTGCTCCTGGATTGAACACTGCCTGGCCGTGGTCAAATCACTTGTGGGTAAATGGAAGCATGCGATCTGGGCTTAAAAGCAGTCGGCCAACAAGCCAAGTTAGATTAAGGTAGGCTGGATTGTGTCTGTTTTAGGAAGCAGCTTTTTTTCTCAATCTTTGTTTTGGGGCCCTTGTGTGTTATCATTCTGAGGTTAAGAAAAAAAAGTAGCATTGCGTTGCGACCTTCTAGCAAGAGTACTTTATGCTTTTATCTAATTGCCCTGTATACAAGGAACATAAAGAACTACTGATTTCATCTGTCATCGGTCAAGATAAGAACTTCCTTCCCAGATACTGAGTGTGTTGCTTCTGCAGTGCTCCTTGCAAAGGAAGAACCTCCTCTATCAGCTGTGATATCTTTGTCTCCACTTTCTTAGAAAGAGGAAATAGGAATATCCTCTGTCGACTTGTCATCATGGTGACCTCAAGAGGAACACATTCTTCCTCTCTTACCTGATCTTTTATGGATAAAACTCAGGGATTATCATCCCACGGGACCTCCCCTGTGTTCTTCTGAGCAAACAGTGCATCGCATTGCAAAACATTCCCAAAGCACCCTGTGGTCAGCTGCACATTGGAATAGCTACCATAATACACTGTTGTCTGTGGTGGTGTAAGAGCTAATGTGGATGCACTCCAGCATCACAAGGAGCACAGTATGGACACACAACCGCAGTTTCTCTGACATGCTCTGTGAGCATGGCTGTAACTGCTAGAGCTTTACTTCTGCCAGTGTAGACATAGCCTATGAGTGTCACAGCTCAATATGAGGTGGAACAGATTGTTTAGCCTAAGTAGTTAATACATATTTCATGGGACTATTCTAGGTAAAATGTTAGTTTCTGTTGTTCTTTGTTTATCATTCCAGCTAAAAGGAAATTATATACAGTACAAGTGATTTATTAATAATTGTCATTTATTATATTCTGTGTCCTCATGTAATTTACACATTATCCTTGTTCTGTGTATTTTGGGACCAAAGAAAATCTTTTAATAAATTATTAAGGTAAAAAGAGAATTACAGTATCTTGAAAAAATCAAATTATGAGCAAAAAGGTCATTATTAAAATCCCAAGTTCTGTTACCTGATTTCTTTTGTAAATTTCCTGTAGTTTTCTTTTGCTTTTTCGGCATGTACTAGTGCCTATTATTGAATGAGACTCACAATTCACTTTTATTCATTTGGTTTATTTAATACCTTTTAAAGTTGAAAAGTAACCACAGTCATGCATTGTTTGGGTTGACTGAAAAAACAGTGAACACATAAGGCACTGGAACAACTGAAATAAATATTGAAACATTGACTTAAAAAACACCAAAATCCATAATTTTAACAGTATTTTGAAATGGATGGTCAGATTCTCAGCTGCTGTAATTTGTCATCACTCCAGTGAACATGAGTGGAGCTGCATTAGTTTGCAGCAGGGGGTGGATCAGACCTGGAGAGCTCTCCATTGATCTGTTAGTGCTAGACTTCAGCCTCCTTTCCTGAGTATCTCATAACTCTTGGTGTTTGCCATCTCTTCCTGGTTTCCATGATACCATTCAGAGAAGGGTTACCTTGGAGCCTCTCTCTACCTTTGCTACTTGATTTTAGGCACCTTGCTGTTTCTCCATCCTCACTCTGGCTTCCTGTGAAAGTGTCATGGTCAGCTGTTTCCATGGAGATATGCCAGTATGCAAACATTTTCACATTGCATAACTACAATATCTTAAGTTGGTGTCTCCACTCTCCAGGTGTCAGTTTTGCTGTCCTGGCCCATTTTTTACATGTATGAAATCCCCAATGATTTAATGTTGTGGTGTCCAACCAGTCCTGAAGCAGTAGTCACTATAGCAAACTAGTCACTCTCAACTGGCCAAATAACCACAGTGTTCAAGCCAACAAGCCACAGTCAACCAGCCAAATAGCCACATGTGGCTAGTGGCTAGTGTGTTGGACACCGTTAAATTCTAATGGAAATGTTCTCAAGAATGGCAGGATTAGCTCTAATTACTTAACTAGCAGTCAGCACCGGCCTGTTCCTGAGAGATGCTGAGAGCCTCTTGCAATATGCTAATCACTCTCAAATTTCTGGAGTTGTGTGTATTTGTGATCTCACAGGATGCATTCAGCATCTTGCAGGGGGATCTTGTTAAATTCTGAATTGACTTTTTATGGTCTAATGTCCCTTGAAATGCTAATCATTCTCTTCTCTCTCCTCCTATTAAATTAATTCAGTTCCAGACTGAAATAAGCTATATAATTCCTATATATACAGTACAACTTTGGGGGGTAGATGAACAGAGTTTGTTCACAGAATCATTACCTATAAATCCTTCTTCCCACAATGGTATTTCCATTTGCTACAGACTGTTCTACAGCCTGCAACCTGTTAAACATGTAGAAAGCGATTAGCACCAGAACATGGAGTTAGTTTTCAAGACACGAACAACTCTGTTGCTCCAGATGCTATATTGAAACTGGAGTGGTCCATTGAAAAAGTAGATGTAACCTATGGGGAAAAAGACTTGTTAAAATGATTTGTAACCAGACATTAATATCATATGGGATTTTGTTAGAAGTATTTTTTTAAATAAAAAAGTCCTGGATTTTTAGACTATATCTATTCAGCAAAATTAATTGCTATTTGAAACTCTGAGCTAAATTTTCAAATTGGCCTCATCCTGGCTCTTAAATTAGTGCCAGTGGTCAATATTTTGGATGCTAAGAAACTTGGTTCTTCTTTTTTACATAGCATTTGCCTGTGAAAAACAAGTGGTTGATCATTTATTTAATTCCCTAATTTGCAAATTCTATTAAAAGAGAACATAGTTTAGTCTCAGTGACAAGGACACAATGTGTTGTGTTCTGAACCTGAGTTTTGATCCAGGTTCTACCAGAGACCTGTTGAGTGGTCCTGCAAAAGATACCTCACCTTCATTTTAGAGTTGCCTTCCTACAGAATCCTAAACTCTGTCCACCAAACTCACTCTTTTCAACACATACATTATTGTATACTGGTAAACGCTGAGTTACTATCTCAAGAACATACTGATTGCATAAAACATTTTGACAAAATCATTGAAGCATTTCTATTTTAGAAGATCAGTGTGGATTGTTTCAACTTTAATGATTTGATTTTTATATATTATGTTACTCAAAATTTAACATTTCTCTAAGATCAAAATGGAATATTTTGAAACAAAATGAGATAAGATTGTTTCAAAATTTCCAAAATGATTTTTTCCAGAAATTCCATTTCACAGGAACATTTCAACTTTTTATTCTGATTTAAGATAGAAGGAAAATTGTAAATGCTGGGAATTCGAAATTTGAACCAGGCTTACTGATAATAATGAAAGGAAAAAATACCATTTTTTTGGTAAACTGCATCCACTCTATTGCCAATTCCTGGGAATTCTTCCTCTATTCGTCTGGGATAGCCTTTTTCCATAACTTGGTTTTCTTCATCATAGCTATGTTAAATATGAAAAAATACAAATTCAAGGAACCTGCATAGCTGGGAGAGGGAATAGAGTGTGGTTTGCAATCTGACAAAAGTCCTAACACCTTTAGGTACCAAAGTTACCCAGGTTGTGAGTGGCTGGAAGTCACTAAATTGCCTATGCCAAATGCAATGGTGAGTATGAGTTTGATTCTCCAGGTGTCCTTGTACCAGAAACACAATGCTAGCTGGTACAAGAACAATAAAGGTAATTTTTTTAAAGGTTGGGTAATAAACTACAGAATTGAAAGTCTGGATTGTACCTAGCTTTAAGGGGTGATAGCGCTATATGTCTCTCATCAGAGCAGGTAGGCTGATGGTATCAGGGGATGATACCTTAGCTCTAAGCCCCACTCATTGATCAGCATAAAAAACTAAAAGAAAGGGGTTTAGATTTGCTTCTGATTCAAGGCAGCAGTAACTTACTACCCTGTTCCACCCATACTCAGGAAGCGGGAAGCGAGTAAGTAATTGTGTCTTAGAGGTGTATCTGAGTTACAGTGCTTCCTGGGAATAATAATAGAGATGTAGCCGTGTTAGTCTGGTCTTGCTGAAACAAAAAACAGGACTATGCAGCGCTTCAAAGGCTAACAAGACGGTTTATTAGGTGATGAGCTTTCGTGGGCCAGACCACTTCCTCAGATCAAATTGTGGAAGAAAATTGGCATGACAATATTGGCATATGGTCATGCCAATTTTCTTCCACAATTTGATCTGAGGAAATGGGTATGGCCCATGAAAGCTCATCACTTAATAAACCGTCTTGTTAGTCTTTAAAGTGCTGCATAGTCCTGTCTTTTGTTCCTGGAAATAAGTACTTATGACCCTTTTCTCAGTACTGTGCTGAAAGTCATAATTTAATATTAAGAATTTATATCATTATTGCTACCTATATCTTTATGGTATATTCTAAAGAGCTGCTATCCCTGTATTTGAAACTAAAGAAAAAATATGGTCCATTAGGCCATAAGTGTTTACAATGAAACAAATAAATTGGTACCTAAATTAAGCCTGGCAGAATTGAAAATAAGAACATTTCTAACATACCTCCAGTACTTGTCTCCAGTAAAAAAGAGAGTCTTGCCGGTGTCTTTAATGTGGACAGCCCCGTCTATTGTTTTCATCTCATTGGGGAATCCCAGCTCATATATTTTTTTAGGGTAGCCTTCAATTATGTCATATCCATTGAGAGCCCAGAATTTCCTTCCTGTAAGTAATGATGACAGAATGTCAATCTTTTATGATAATGTAGCATCAGTGAAAAGGTATTAGCAGAGTAAAGCTCAGCAATGATGATTACATTATTATTTTTGTGTGATTTAGATTACTGGGGCAAGATCCTCCCCTGGTGTAAAATGAAGTCATTACTCTAGGGGTGTGTCTAGAATACAGAGTTTTGTCGACAAAAGTGGACTTTTGTCGACAAAACTATACCTGCGTCTACACTACCGCTGAGTTCTGTCGACATAACGTCGACAGAACTCAGCAGTTTTGTCGATGCTGGTAAACCTCATTTTACGAGGCATAACACCTTCTGTTGACAGAGTTCTGTCGACAGAAGGTGTTATTGCATGTAGGGTTGTGTCTAGACTACAGGGTTTTGTCGACAAAGCAGCTTGCTTTGTCGACAGAACTGAATGTAGTCTAGACGCTCTTTGTCGACAGAAGCTTTGTCGACAGTATCTGTCGACAAAACTTCTGTCAACAAAACCCTGTAGTCTAGACGTGCCCTAGTTGAGGACCTAACCTTCTAGCCAAAATTCTGCATTCTCTAGTCCATTAACAATCATGTAGAGTTGCCTGGGGTGAAATGGAAGTTTTGTCTGACCAAGGACTATAGACTTTAACCCCAAGTATCTGTGTTCAGTGAGACTGAATAAGATAATTCCACTTTTTTTGCCATTTGCAAATAGCTTACCCCTAAATATGATCACATGATCTTTTATGGGGTTTTCATAAGCAGCATCTATCTTGTTTGGAAGTTCTGGCCAAAAGGACTTAATTAACACCAGTTCTGCCTCGACCATCTGAGGATGTAGGCGCCAGAAAAACCTATTTCAAAAAGAGAAAATGGATTTTTTTATCTTCATCTTCAGGGCATGGCACAGTATGATTTCCAATATTGATATATGCATATAATGCAGAGCACGTTTTAATTCAAGGTAAATTTAATAGATCTCCACCTCCTCTCCTAGCCATGATGGTTCAGACCAAATCTCTCATTCACAACATGAATACTTCCTCAGAAGAGAATAAACTTATGTCTTGATTTCTTTTTGCCCAACTTTTTTCCCTTAAGAAGAGAAAGTACAGATACATGTGGCAGTGCACCATGTAAGATTGTTGTGGGCAGTGCAATTTTCTGCAGAAAATTAAATAATTTCTGAATTTTTGAGAAAATCCAATGCAATCCTATGAAACAGTGAGTCTGCTTAATCATGTGGAGACTGAGCCCCATTCACACCAATTTCACATCAGTTTCACACCAGCTGAACTGACTTCCAGGAATACATTCTTGATTGTCACCAGTCTGATAGGGAATCAAAATCATATGTACGTTATAAAGGCTGGTTAAGTGTTATATGCTACGTAGCCTTTTACAGTAATTTCTGGTGATCTCACAACCTATTTTAGTTCTTTAATAAAAGAGATTAACCTGTAAGGCTATGTCCAGACTCCAGTCTCCTGGAAAAGCTTTGCAGTGTTCAAGGAATGAGTCTGCTTTTTTGGAACAATTTCTGAAAAGCTGACGCATTCTTTCACCATCCCTGTAATCCTCATTGTAGAGGAAGAAGGGATGTATCATAAGAGGAGGTTTTTCCAAAATTTGGCCCTGTGCAGACAGGCCAAATTTTGGAAAAACATCTTTAGAAAGAAAAGCAGAAAAAGATACGGAAATTGTGGTCTGTAATTTGCGTATCTTTTTCTGACTTTTCTTTGTAGTTTAGACCTAGCCTAAGTGTGAAAATTAGTAGATTTGTTGGAAGATAGAAAAAGATCAAACCAATTACATTTTCAGAAACAAAAGATAAAGTAATGGAATTAAAAATAAATTAAATAGTGTTTTTTTTCACTTACTCAAGTTTGTACAAGACTTTGGGGCAAGTTTCTTTCCTTGGTTGTAACCAAATGTAGTTTAGGTAGTGAGTTGCAAAAGAAGCATACCGTATATTCCGGCGTACAAGATGACCTCTGATGTTAAAAAACATCCCCCAAAAATCGGGGGTCGTCTTGTACGCCGGGTATACATCCCAGGCATAGTGTTTTTTTTCACTTACTCAAGTTTGTACAAGACTTTGGGGCAAGTTTCTTTCCTTGGTTGTAACCAAATGTAGTTTAGGTAGTGAGTTGCAAAAGAAGCATACCGTATATTCCGGCGTACAAGATGACCTCTGATGTTAAAAAACATCCCCCAAAAATCGGGGGTCGTCTTGTACGCCGGGTATACATCCCAGGCACGCCTGGGATGCCCCCCCGCCGGCTTCCCCCGAGGCTTTGCAAAGCTGCTGCGGCCCTGCGCCCGCCCCCCC